GCTAAGAAGAAATCTGAGGAAACAGATGCTCAGAGACAGAAGCGGTTGGCCAGAGAAGTTCAAAATAAGCAAAAAAAAGAAGCGAAGCAAAAGGAGAAGGAAGCAGAAAAGCAACGTCAAAAAGCATACCAAGAGAAGGTGAAGGATGCTAAAAAGGCCAGTTCACCCGCCCACCCTTCCTCCAACAAACCTGCGGCAGGTTGTGGCCAGCCTCACCAACAAGGTCTCGGATGTTCGGTCCAAGGAGCAACGCGCGTCCAAGATGTCGCGCCCTCAGCCTGAGCTGCGTGTGAATCCAAGCAGCTTGGTCACTTCAACACCATCGCTAAAGCAAGCAAGCCTCGCATTGCAGGAATCCGGATGTGAAAAAGCCCATTATGCAGAGCTTGCATCAACAGCGTTTGAAGCTTCAAGCTGCACGCGATGCTCTTCAACAGGGGGTGGAGAACTTTGAAGCCACTGTGTCAAAACATTATGCGTACTGCCATGCTGGAACCGCCGCACTGTTTCCACGTTGGCCTGCTGCCTAGGAAGGTCCGGTGAAGATTTTGCAGGAGAAGGGCCAGTCAGTACTTGACTGCTACGCGACGTTTTTGGAAACCATGAAGCTGTGACTTGATAGGGTTGCCTGGTCGCCTCAATGCTGGCCTCTTCTGGCCCACCCAAATTCACCAAGTTGACACAACCAATATTGAAGTGTTTGAGCTGCATGCTGGGTAGATGCATCAACAGTGCACAGTTTGGACACACAAAGGGGGGGGCAGTATGCTGCATTGCAGCGTTTTGGCCAGATAGGGTTTTGCCTTGATCCTCACAACTCACAACGATGGTCAACACATGCACGCCTTTCATGCCATAGAGACCTGTTTTATACTGTTGAACAATGTGAGGATCGATCAAAGGCGTTGTCACTTCGATCTTGATGTGTTTTCCTGGGGAAGCTGCAGCAATCCGCACAAGTCTCTTGTGGTGATTATCAACTCTCAACCCTTGCAGTTTTGTGTGCCATCATGTTGAGTCCACAAAACGAGTGATGGCTTGCTGCTGGAACTTAGATGCCGAAAGAGTCATCTCAATCATCAGCACGCGAAAACGCGAAAATCAATGCTGCAACGGGCGAGGGAGCTGTGTGCCAAGGGAGCTTCTACAGATTAACACACCCAACTCCGCATGACCAGTGTCCCTCCGCAGGTCATGCAGATCAAGGGCAAGCGCAATTCTTCAACCAGATGGTGGATGATGTACAAAGTGGAGCCTCTTGGTTTTGTACTAGTTATGCCCATTCTCCGTCCCACCCCAACTGTGTGTGCCAGGCTACCAGCCTGCACGCCGCAATGCGCAGCACCAGAGCGCATGTGCATGCGACACGGCCGCAGGGCATTGCTCGGAGAGTGGCGTGCGAAAGTTGCATGTTGTGCTTTTCTACCAAATCACCATTGAAACCTAGGAGTGCTATGGCCATTGCCACCAAAGAAGTGTGAGATTGGCGAGGTTTGCGAAAGGCAACGACGCTCGCAACTTCCTGCGTGGCTGCGACATGAAGTTAGTGCCTTCCTCATGAACAACTCTCACGTATTTTTTTGCGGTTTTGCTTTGAGGGGTGACTCGAACAAGAAACAAGTTTAGTTTTCAGGTCTGTGATTGCCAACTTAGGAATTCACTATAGTCCGCTCGGTGCCGGTTGCAAAGCCCAACTATTCAGGAGAGTACCACTTAGCGGATCTACCCATGATTGACCCTCATTTGCTGGTGGATTACTTATTCAAAGAAGTGGGGCTCAATATTCCTGAGGAAGTTGTTCGAAACTATTGGCACCAAAAAAAACAGCTGGGGCGGGAGGCTTGGGCCTTGAAATCGCCGGCGGACGAGACTTGCGTGCCGATCTGCCTCTATGGTGACGGAGTCAAGGTTCAGGGCGACACAAAAATGGTTGGAATTTTCCTCTCATTCCCAGTTTGGAGAACCTTTTCTTCAAGAACATCGCGGTGGTGCATTTTTGCAATTGAGAAGCACCGTATTTTCAAATCAGAGACCATGAACAAGATCTTAAAGCGAGTGGTGTACTCCATCAACCTTCTATTCAGTGGCCGGGATGACCTCGCTCTTGGTAGGCGCTTCGTTGTAAGCGAACTGAAAGGTGATTGGGAGTATTTCAAGTTTATCTTTCAATTCAGCTCCAGCTGGACAGCTCTTCGTGATATCTGCTTTCGCTGTGATGCAAAAGGACGTTCTGCAAATGAGTCCGAACTCTACTTCTGTACGGAAGGGCAAAGTTGGCACGAGTATGATGTAACTGAATTCATATCAAGGCAATTGGGGCATGGCAGCCAAACATGCAGCTGAGACTGAACTACTGGAAGCAGTTTTTGTTTTTTTCAAGTTGGTCAAACGTGTGATGTAGCATATCATTTGAGCCCTGCATGCATGCAAACTAATTTGAACATTGCAAAAGTTGCTTTGCATGACGTCTTGCCCAGTTGAGGCCCTTTGATACTACTGAAAGGCTTCCACCCACAGCTGTTGCAAATTTGCTCCATGCACGTGGTAAATCTGGGGCTAGGCTATGATGTGAATGGAGCTTCGATGAGGTCAAGCCGCAACTTGCAACATGTTTGTTTCCGGTGTCAAGCTAGCTCATACGCGCAATGCTCTCCGAAATAATTTTATAAGGAGTCCCACCTTTTGAACCCGTTTGTTTGCTTGACCCCCCCTGTTTTCCTTTCACTGGTCTACCTCTTACTGAGGGCTGCCTTGCTACGCATCAACTTCTGGGGTGACGAGGGTGATCTCCAAAAAAATCTCAATTTGGCTTATGATCATTTTCGATCCTGGCTACGATCTATGAAGATCAGTTGCAGCCAGCCGCCCTTTCGTGGCTACATGGCACCTTGGCCTGATCTGAGGAAAAGAATACAATATGCAATGCTAACTACGCGTTTCGCTTTATTCAAGGCTAGTACGAGTTTTGGTGCCTAGACTGGGACTAAATTAAACTCTGCAGAAACGCGATTGATTTGCGACTTCCGTTTTTTGGTCGCGATGAGCTCATCTATTGTATCATCCCCAATTGGTTGAAATAAAATCCTGGGGTGGAAAGTTTAGGACGCGTGGTGATTTTGTTTTTGCGCTTGAGCTGAGCCGCTGAGATTTTCAAGAAGAAGGGCGGCGGCACCATTTTTACATCAAAGGCGTTCAACGCCAGGTGTATCACTGCCTGGCTAGCGCAGTGTGTACAAGAAGCCGCGCGGCACCCTGACCAATACAATGTGGATGAATCAGAGGCTTTGGCAGTTCTCGCGTCTTGTGTGCCACTCGGTTGCATCATCTAAGTGCGAAGGACCGCGAAGTAAAACTGACAATTACGCATGATTCACGCGTGCATGTAACTTTGCTGCGCAATCAGTCGCTCGCCCATGCATAGGTCTTCGCTGGCGCAGTGGTACACGCTTATGGAGCAAGGTGGCCGCTACCTTGCTGGCGCTCAGCGAACCAAGCTCTATGATGTTTCCATGCGCTTTGCCCGCCGGTATGTGCAGATGGCAAAGCATTCATTGCGGACTGGGTGTGCAAAATAAATCCAGCGCAGCTAGCGTTTTTTTGTTTTATGTTTTATGCGTGGTCATTTGCGCGCATGCGTGTTGTGATAGCTAGCATCTTGTCCAGGACCAGCAGGGACGAATTTCGGTTGAGGCCAAAACTGCATGTGCCTAGGCTGCACTGCGAACACGCATGGTCACGATTAATTTGCTAAAATAGTTTTTGCGTGACGATGTGCTTGAGTCATGGTGTGTGTGCACGTGTGTGGTGTGTGTGTGTGTGTGTGCATGTGTGTTCGCTGGACTTCGTTCGAATCTGAGATGTACATTCATTTAGCCCGCGATTGCCGCGACAGCGGCAAGAACCCGCGCTTTGCGCACTGTTTTCAAGAAGAAGATGGGATGCAATGGCTCAAGCGTACGTAGGCCGCACTTAGATATGTTCATTCATGAATTCAGTTTTTAGATTTTGCACCTTTTGGCTTCGCGCAAGGGTTGTGCCAGCTAAGGAGCTTCCCTAAGGGGTCATCCGCGGAAAAGGCCGTTATTCATTCTCAAAATGACGAAGCTCAGATTGTTGTCGATGAGGGCCAAAATCCAGACGAAGCTGGGCCAATTTGGTTGATGCATGGTAGTAGCATGTTGGCGGAGCATGTACTTCTTGCAATCTAAGGCTCAACCGCGGAGCGCACCAGCGCGCTCTGAAGATGCAGCAATAGCGGAGCAAAAAAATCTACGCGTGATCAACCCAAGAAGATTTTGCGCATTTTTACATGGGCCGCATATAAACTCCATGCATTTCGGCTGGTGTTACCAAAGAAACAGTGATTTTTGTGCGGACGGGGGCCCCGGGAAGGGGGGGGGGTAGGCCTCAAAAAGGCATGGTTACTCAGCATATGTACTCGGCATGATACTAAATGAGGCCTTTTGACCTTTTTGAGGCCTCTTGTCAGAGGCCTCTCTTCGCAAGGCCTTTGGAACCTTAGGGTATATATATACACATGTTATACAAATATGTACATATTGCGCATTTTTTTTTTAATAAGTATGTACACATATTATATGTACTATATATATATATGTTTTTGTTTACCTGTTTGGTTCCATTGTCCTGGGCAAACTATGCGACGCCACAAGGGGCATATGTCTAAACACACAAACGCATCCTTTCACCGCTTTTGCACCCTCTTGTTCGGAAGTAGGTGGCCCAACGCTTGCCCTTGCGTTGACCCTCATATTTTCAAGTCAGATGCCCACTGGCGAGCCCTCTCTTTCAACTGATTTTGTGGGCGGCCAATGGTCAAGGTCCCCAAAGGCAGCATCTCATTTCTCCATGTGGGCAGGGGGTGCAGGGCTGTTGAACTAGTAGCCAGTGCCCAAAACGCCCACAACGTTGTGTTCTCCAATTCGATTTGCGGCGCGCCAAATCCGCCGAAGCTTCTTCGAATTCGAGTTTTCTCGGAGGCGGCGCTCCACATCATTGCCGGGCAGCTGAACGAGGTGGGGGGGGGGGTGATGGTCATTATTTTGACCGTTTCTAGGGTTATCAAAGTCAGAAAATGGGGTTGTTCTCCTTTAACCCATTACTTTGGGGGTGACTTTGATCATGATAAAATAATGAGGCCAGTGTTTTTTGGTCGGGGGTATGGACGCTTTGAAAGAGGTTTCCGGGGTTTTGCTCACCAACCCAAAATGAGGTTCAACTAGGTCCCCCAGCTAGCTGCCCTTTCTCACCAACTTTTTTGGTTGGGAGGGTTCCCCTGCCAGAATAGACTAAAGGAAAAAAGTGGGTACCCTTATTCTAACCTCTCTACTGGAGCACCCAGTCAATTAGAACCGACTCGGGTCATTGAAGGGTCTATTGGCAATCCCAGCAGCTGGACGCGGAAAGCCGGCCTTTTCAATTCTTTACCATGGCGCTGGGCGGACCATTTTAATACCAGGGCTTGAGTATGACCCGAAATGAGTATCCCGAGAAAGAAGAAGACATCCCACATGGTTCAACACGCCCTGACGATGCACCTTTAAGGAGGTGGGACTTGGTTGGCACTCAAAAAGGGAAACCAAACGAACGCGAGCCACGGTTGTCTTTTTTGCAACTGCCCTGTTTAGCCTTCCTTCAGACGTAATGGGTTGAACTCCAAGGCTTCAAAGCAAACCGCCATCAAAGGGAACGGCATTGAGCACAAAGACCCCACCCTGCGCGAAGCGACGAGTGTGTTGATTTCCCCTTTTGCAAGTTTCCAGGGGGCGCAAAATGGATCTTGACGCGGAGGCTTCTATATTTCTCCTTTGGGCATGTCTTTTTTGTTCTGAGTTGTGTCTCGTTTTCTTTTTTTCTCCGAGTTGTGGACTAGCAGCCAGTTTCGCACAGCAAGACAGCGCATGCGAGGTACTTGGACCCGGGTGGGGAACTCTGAAAGCTGCCCCACGCCCTAATGCAAGGGGGGATATCCCAACTACGGACCCAAAGAAATCCAGACGTTGTGCCCTAAGGCTCACGACCCCTCCAATGCAGCGCCTCGGGCCCTCGAATGAAGAACCCGGGCCCCTCAGGGGCCCTTGAAAACAACGCCCAAAAAGCATCGGGAGCCTTAGGATGGGTACACAAACAAACATGTAGGGGCGCAACCCGTGGGTTTCAAGATGATATAAACATGATCCCTGCTTTGCGGCTTGCCTTCAAAGGGGGAAGCGGAGGGTATTCTGTTGAGCCTTTGGCGAGGGTGGTTTTTCAACTCCTTGGCTTTTAAGCCATTTAAGCCTCGACAAAACGGGGCCGAGTCGGGGCTGGTAACACTTCCCGCACCAAGCATGACATTTGCAGGATATACCGGCACCCTCAAACTCTTTCTTGGGAATCACTCCAATGCCCCGTTGGCTCCCTCGATTAAATATATTTTTTTTTGTTACCAGCTAAGCATCCGAATCCTTGTAAAGCAACCGACCCCCTCAAACTCTTTCTTCATAGGGGAATCACCCCCATTTCCCATTGGTTGCAAGCAGGTCACTTTTGCAAGCAGCCCATTGGCACGGCCTAGGTCGTCATGCTCCGTTCCCCCGAACATGTGGTTATGAGTTTTGATGGGAAATACCATCCCAATGGTTGGTGGACATAAAACCCTCATGATGTCCAAAGAATTCACACCATCCTTGTCCCCTGTCCCCTCAAGTTTGTCGGCTTTTAGCCACTAAAAGCTGATCAGTTTTGGCAGGGAATCAGAAAGCGAACAGCCCAGCTACTAAAGGCTTTTTTTCGATCAGCGTGAGTCAGAGGAGCAGATCAGCAAGCTGCGGGACGTGTTCATGATGATCGATGGCAACGGCGACGGCCGGCAGCCCAGCGATCGAGAGAACGGGTTAAAGCCAGCAAAAGCCATGGTTCGGCCCTTTTCTTGGATCGAAGTCTTATTTCAGGTTTTGAGCTTTTGATAAAGTGTGTAAACCGATCACGTCCAAGCGCCAAACCCTGGTAAGTCTTAGGCTTGGACATGGGGAAGATACCTTGGTCTTTCCCTTAGAGTTGGCCCTTCGCCTGCCTTCGTCCTGTGCCTACCTGCCTGCGTACCTGCCCGGCTGGCTTGGCGCGCCTGCGTGCGTGGCGTTCGCGCGTGCGCGCGCGCGCGCGAGCGTGGGTGCTTGGGTGCTTGCGTGAGTGGGTTGGTGCGTGTGTGCGCTCTTTTAGGACTTTCCAAAGGGGAATCAACACGGGGCGTCAATACGATTCTGGGCTGGCCCTCCTGTTCAAACGTTCAAACCCGATTCAAACCACCGTGTTTACAATCCTGGTGGGTCAAAAATTCGCTGCTAGGCTACCTCACGGTGAACGAGCTGAAGGAAGGCCTTGCAAAGCCAAGAGCTGAGGATCTTTCCTTCGCGCCCATTGCCGGGGACCCCTTTTTCACCGTTTTTGGGAAGGGTTCCCCTGTAAACTGAACTAAAAAAGGATAGCCTTTTCGTTTTTCTCCACTGGCTTACCTCGTCAGGGTACGGATACATGCAAAAACCACCTAGCTTGCAAGGATTTGGATTCTCTCAGTGCCAAATGAAAGGCTTCATACAAGGGTCCAAATAGTTACAAACATTATTTGTCCTATGGTCATGAGGCAATTTGGTTTAAAAGTACCCCGGAACCAATCGTAATGATTTAGGCCTTTTATTCGTCTACTACAACCATGACTGAATTTGGTCGTAAGGTATCCCCCCCTTCTGAGGTTTGGACCACTTTAGTTGAGAAAAGTTTGGACGTGGCCAATGAACTTAGGAAGTTGGCAAACCTTTTGGCGGGATCGGCTTGCCTGTTCATATTGTTGTTTGGGTTTTGGATGGTCGTTTTTTCCCGACTTGCTAGCCTTTCAAGTGTTCCACGGTGTTCCTTCATTCCCCTAGTGTTTATGGCAAAGCAGGTCCAAGTCTTTGGTCACGGCGAATCTTTTGATATGGCTGTGGGTCAAAACCAATGGTGCCATTTTGGGGAGGTGCACCACCCATTTTAGCCTATTTTAGTGGGGAGTGGGATGTTCACTAGGGGTACGGGCTTTTGACCCATGGCCATATGGCGTTGGGTCGCTTTTGTTGCCAAAAGTTCGGCTTGCTTGACATGTTCAGTGTCCTTCAGTGTCCTTTGCAGCCAAAGGTGTTCTCTTCTTTTGCAGATCGGATCAGGAGGGATGTTCAACAGCAAGGCGTGGACGAAATGGGCCCGTAATTAAAGGGCAGCCTGTTGCTTGCCTGTTTCGTGGGAGCGGAAGCGGAGTCTTCAGGAGGTAACTGCTATCCGAATCCGATGAAAGGAGCCCAGGCCATTTTTCAGGCCTTGATGGGCTCGCTCTGCAGAAAGTGGAAACTGCACGTCACGTTTGGTCTCGGGACAAAAGCATTGTGGAGTTGATTGCATGTATTCCCGAATTCCTGCAGACAGGGAGTTGCGTTTGCCGGGAACAGTCATCCAAGCGTGCCAAAGGGGACCTGTAGAAAAAGCTAAGTTTCTTACGGGGTGTCCCTAATATATATATATATATATACATGGGACATCCTCCCTTTTCAGAGCCTCCCCCCCATGCAAAACACCATGCTACCCATTGCGATTCCCGACCTCCAGTGGCTCCAGCAGCCGGTGCAGCTTCGTAAGCGTCGCCCTTTGAAATTTCCCTTTGTGGACATGGCTTCAGAGCTGGAAGCTTGGGAGAAGAAATCAGGACTTCCCCAGAATGCTTAAAGGCATTTAGAGGCCCTTGCAGGGTTCCAGGGTAGGCGAAGGGATGGGCCGAAGTGTGCCTTGGCGCATCTTTTGGTGTGGCAAGCGAACCCAAAAAGGAAATCCGAAGCGGCCCAAATCCCATTGGCCAGACCAAATGGCACCTTTTGGACCCTGCCACCTGGCGCCGCGTCTTTAAGGGTGATACCAACCTCGCGCAGATTGTTAAGACAAACCCGCCTTAACTGGCAAGCGCAAGATCAAGCGTCCCTTTCACCGGGCGGCTCCGAGGTCGGGCCTGAAGGACGTCCCCCCAGACCTGTTGCAGATCATGCAGGCACGGCTTGTTTTGCCAGGATGTAGCCCCGGGCCCAATTTTGTTCACGGACTCTTCCGGGTCTGGGGTCGCACTGCAACTAGGGGAGCCTCGGGTGCCGAACCGGGCGCTGTACAAGCCATGCTCGCGAGTGAAAATCGGCGACATGTAGGTTGCTTGCCCTTTGGCTCGTGCTCGGCACGTCAGGCATCAGGCGTGTCGCGTATGCGTCGCGTCGTCGCGTATGCGCCGCGTGTCGCCCTCCCAGAAGAGTATGTTAGATTGACTTTCCAGGTTGAGCTGAATCAGACAATCTTATGTTTGGTGCACCAGAGATCCCAATCTGCAAGCTGCCAAAAGAAGCCGGTTCCCAGGTTGATTCTTGCTGGTGTAGCGCGATCAGGCCCCGATCCGACTGCGATCTTGCCCCACAAGCCATAATCTAGCTGTATCTTGGCGCGATTCGAGTCCGATTTAGCTGCGATGCATGCAGTACAGAGTCCTGAGTCGACGCACGCACCGCCCGTCATGCCACAATCCGCCATCCCATGCAAGTGTTTGGAGTTGGGCACGTAAAAGAAAAACCGCCCCGCATCCCGCTTTCATTCAGTACCATTTTCTCGCAAATGCCCGCGCCATGCAGAACGCGCCATGTTCAGCTGAACCCGCTCACCTTTTGGGACACTGACTCACCCCCGCATCCCGCTATGTGGAGTTTCCAACACCTTCTGCGTCGCGCCGGAACTCCCCCTGCCTGGCCATATTTCAGCTTCCACGCTTAAGAAGTAGCCCGGAACCCGCTTCCGCGCCGTTTTTTTCTTTGAGCTGAACAAAGTGCGGACATTTCAACAGCTCACAATGGCCACAATGGGCTCGTTCCCGGCATCAGGCTCCATATTTGCCAGCAGGAGAAAAGGCACCCAGCAATTGCCCCGGTCATTCGGTTGCATACCCCCGAGTTGGGTCAAGTGTTTGTTGTGTGATTTTACCAAGAGGTCAGCTTCGGTTTGGATTGGTGGTTTGTATTGGTGGTTTGGTGGTTTGGGGGAGGCTTCCCAATTTCCCTTTACGAGAACCAGAGGTTCAAGTCCCCAAATCACCAATCGCAAAGCGGAGGGACGCTGAAGAGGGGGGTCAACAGAAGCAGGGAGGTCAAACAAAAAGGTGAGTCGAGGGGTCACAGAAAGGAGCTTTCTTGTTCGCAGGCTCGCCTTTCTTGTTCACAGGCTTCTGTTTGTTGAACCCATACGCCCACAACCTGGTTGTGTTGACCCTTCCCCCTGCCAACCTTTTTGTTTAACCCGCCTTTTTTTTGCATCCCCCCACCACCTTCTGCTGTTACCCGCTTTAGAAGCCTTGTTCTTTCAACCCCAAGAACAATGTCCCCTTATTTAAATGGTTGGTGCACAGAAACTCCCTTGTAAATTTAACGGGCACCCGCCACGTCACGGCGCTTCCAGTCAAAGAACTACTAAACCGCTTTAACTCATTATGGGAAACTTTTTTTCTGGGTGTGTCTTTTGTGAGGGAACCCTCCACATGCTGGGCTTTCCTGTCGGTTTCCTTTGACAACCGCCAAGAAGGGGGGTTTTCCTTTTGGTTTCCCTTCAAAATTACCAATTTGGGAGCCACAAAAACACCACTCCCATGTGGTTTGGCCCCGAGCTGGAAGTGAGTGATGCATTCCTTTGACTCCTGGGCCTTGTTGCTCCATGCCCTTCGGTCAGGAAGTGGACTCGGATGGTAGCGGCAACATCGATTACACCGAGTTTCTGGCGGCGACCCTGGATAAGAGGACGGCTCGGTTTCTTCCTTTGTGTTTCTTTTCTTCCCATAGGCACCCACATCTCACCCATTTGGGGGCAGGGGTAAAGGAGAAAAAAACAGAGGGACAAAAAAGCAGCCCCTTCCAGGGTTAGGCGATAAGACTTGGTTAAACCATGGTTTATGCCACTTTACTGTTTGAACAAGCTCCTTTTGGTTTGTTTTTTGAGAAATTGGACCCGGGGTTGGTTGTTAAAAAAAGAAGTTCGCCAAGCCTGGAGGTGGCTTGGTTTCCCCTTCCCACAAAGGGGATGTGCCATCTTTCACCCTGCTGTAAATGCCACCTGGAATGGCCTCCCATGTATCTGCCCGCTCTTTCCAAGAACGAAAGTGCCAAATCCCGTGGACTCTGCCGGGAGAATCCCGTGCCATGGCCGGGACTTTTCAGAGGGAGCCATCCTCAGCCAGTGGTCGGACATGGTGACCTGGATCCCCACCTGAATGTCCACTAAAGGGTCCCCTATAACGGGCCTCATGATTTTAGCATGGCCCAAGGCAGCCCCTAAGTGATGGGTTAAAGGGTTCCATTTTCTGGCTTTAATGACCCCTAGAAGCGGGCAAAACAATGACCCCAGTATTAATCATGCGTGCCCAAGCAGAGTCCTGGAACTGTGATTCTGCCCGAAGCCACGGCCATGCGGCTGGCTGGGCAACAGTCTTGCGCTTTAGCACCCCCAGCGCTTCCTGTTTCCCACCGTAGGTAACCAGATATAATATTGCTGTTTCCCCCACTCTGAAACCATGGATGAATGTAGCTTCCATTTCTCTGGTTTTGCAGGCAGCCAAAAATAGTCATCCACTGGGATGGTAACTGAATCTCTGGCGCCCAACGCGCAGGATGTACATCCAGGAGGATGTGTGCTGGTCGGCCTTCCGGGTGTTCGACCGGCCGGGCGCTTGGATGCCCTGGCATTGAATGAGTTGTGAGCTCATCGACAGGTTTACTCATCATATATATCTATATGACTACGTTTTGGTGGTACTGACTTTTTCTTGAGCTAGTCCACTCGATCGAACATGAGTAATGTATGAGTTTGACATGTTGCCCTGAAAGCTTTGTAGATTCCCCGCATAACTTGCCTCGTTTCATGCCTTCCATTTGCAAAATGGTTAATGACCCAGGGCAAAACGCGATCATCCATCCGATTTAGTTCGAGGATCCAAATCCCAAAACGGGTCATTCAACCAAAACCCTGACTCGTTGAAAGTGGCGGTTGATCAAAAGGTCCTTCACATGGGATGATCATTGGTTGGGACACCACTAAAACGATATGTCCCTTTCAGTTTAGGGAAACACAATTACCCATGGTCAAAACTGGGGGCCGAAGGTCGATCTTGTTGATCAGCGCCCCAAGTCATTCCCATCGATGCGCCCTGTTGGTTTTAAAAGGAATCTGGAATGAAACCAACAGCTGGATGGAGCAGAGGCAATTCCTTTGCTTAGACTTCCCCGCATCGAGCGTCTATCCGAAAGAATCCCCCTTCACTCAACCCCCAACTCATTCCTACTGTGGATGGACAAAATCCATTTCGCACCACCTCTGAAAGCCTGGAATGATGATTCCGCTGTAAATACCAACAAACGGTGGTTTCCCCATGGTTTCAAAGCGCTGAGGAATGGATTGCGTCCATCCACAGCATCACTTGGGGCATTCCTTCGGCCACCCACGACCTTGATATGGGGGTGTCTTTTGAAAGGGAACCCACTTTTTGGTGAGGTTTTCAAAGGCAGCCAAAAGGACAACCACCATGTTGGAGTATTTCCCGGGGGCGAAAACGCAACGTCGAGGAACGGGGATGGCAAGATCTCCATGGAGGAGCTGCAGCAGGCGACGCGGCGAAACGAGAGGCAAAAAACCCGACGAGGTTTCGAAGCGAAGCGGAGCCGTTTCGGTATGGGCGAAATGGGGCCATGCCCGGGCATCCCAGTTGGGTGTGCACAAATATATATATCTATATATATATATATGCGTGTGTGTGTGTGTGTGTTTGATTGTTTGTTTGTTCGTTTGGTTGCCTGCCTGCCTGCCTGCCTGCCTGCCTGGCTGGCTGGCTGGCTGTCTGTTTGTCTGTCTGTTTGTCTGTCTGTCTGTCTGTCTGTTTGTTTGTTTGTGTTGTTTTCGTATTGGTTTTTGTAGAGTTTCCTTTTGAGCTTGGTGTTTAAGGAGAAACCCAAAGGAACACATGCATTTTGGGGGTTCCCCCTGACACAACTGCTTGGGAGTGGGATTCTTTGGGCTGAAGATGGCCTGAATCCCTGGCTTTTCCTTGGCTTTGCCCTTGTCTCATCCAAGCTGTGGGCGCCTTTTGAAACCTTTGTCTTGGGAAGGCTTCCCCGAACTCAACCAACCAAACCAGGATGCCCCGATTTTTTTCTCCGCATGAACATCTACTGGGCATCTGAGTTTTCGACCAGCCCCCCCACAAATCCCCTATGGGAGTTGTCTCAGGGAAACGCATCCCAAGAGCTTGGGGGAGCGGCTGGGCAAGGTTCGAGTGAAGCGCGGGTGTTGGCGGAATCCGCCACCAATCTAGGGGTGGCAGTTTTTCACCCCTTGTGCATACCGGTTCCTTGGCTTCCCTGGTTTCCAACACACTGAATAAGGGGTATATACCCCTTTTGGGGAGAGGGGTATGAACATCAGCAGGCCTTTTGGGTACATGTGTCCATGGGGTATGTAAAAGGGGTATCTACAAGCTCCCCTGGAACCAAATCTGATGGAGTCCTATCCGGGACGTGGGGGGCCATTAACACAAAGTGGAACTCGGAACATGTCCGTTGACCCTAGGCTTCCTTGCCCCCCATTAAAAGAAAGGTCGAGCCACTTTGGATGATGATCCTTGGGAAACCAAGGGGTGGCGATATTGCCCCAGGTTTGAACCCCAGGGTGTAGGGTCCCCATGGGTGGCCAATTCCCAAGATGCAAATCCCCAACCCAAAGAACATTGAGGATTACTCCCCCAAATTTTGGCTTTTGTAGACTTTTTAACGTTGACCCCGGATGAATCAACCCCAGATTATAAAAACTGTGGATGGACGAAATCCTGCACCACCTAAGAAAGCCTGGAATGATGATTCCCCCTGTAAATTCCAACAAACGGTGGTTTCCCATGGTTTCAAAGCGGTGCGAAATGGATTTTGCAACCATCCACAGTAGGGGGATTGTGGGGCCCCTCCAACAGTGGTCGGATTCCCGACTAGAGCCAGGGAGAAGCTGCAGCCCCATATTTTCATGAACAGGGGTGTACTGCGGATGGTTGCGAAATTCTGCCCCACTTTGTTTCCATGGGAAACCATTGTTTGTTGGTATTTACAAGGGATTCCTCGTTTCCAGTTTCTTAGTGGGTGCAGGATTCCGTTGTATGAATCAGGGCTCCAATCAGGAAATGCCTGCGAAGCCTCAAGGAGGTCACAAATGGCACCCTTGTTTTCCCCCACAGATGTGCACGAGACAGCTGGGTCTTCGAGTGGCCGAGAGCGTTCGAGTTTCGGTAGGTTCTGTGCAGCAACGACGTGGAGCAAGTGGTGGGTGCGAAGGCGGTGGCGGAGCTCATGCTGGAGGTGGACGGCAATGGTGATGGCTTCATCGACTTCAAGGCGCCGTCCGTCGGATCCGTCGGAGCAGCGGTGGCCCCAAGGCCCCCGGAAGAGTTGAGGGGCTTTGGCCTGCCTTTGAAGAGCTGAGAGAATGAGGTCTTGGGGCCAGGGTAGCTGACCTCCCCGCTTTTCTGAGCACCGGGGGTCTCTCTTAAGAGGAAACTAATGAAGATCAGATACCCTCCTATTCTAGTGGGAGTGAGGGTATCAGGGGCGAAAAATATATAAAGTGTTCCTCGGAAATTTGGTTCAGCACCTCACAATCAGATCATGATTATTCAGGTTCCCATGTTGCCAGAGCTCACAACCTGGAAAAGCCAGCCGCCGGTGTTCTGGTTCTTCGTCGGGTATCCTTAAGGGTCACTTCCATTTGCTCAATAATCATTTGTTATTTTCTTTGTTGGTTTTAAAGGGAGTCTATCACTAGTGGGAATATTGTGTGTCTCCAGGGAGCTTAAGCAAATGGAAGGTCAGTTTGAACGGACATCAAGCAAGTCTCCGTTTCTTGAAATTTGGATACTTCATGGCCTGTTCCGGAGGCATGGACCAGCACTACGACAGAGTTGGTAATGTTGACCCCGTCAGAAAATCAACCCCAGTTTTGTAATAGGGGGGTTTCCCTCCAAAAATAGTCTGATTCCCCACTAAACCCAGGGAGAAGCATCCTAAGATTTACTGGTGGGTTGATGAATTTGGGGTCAACACTACTCTTGAAAGGCGACACATTGAAACATGGACTTGGTGATCTTTAAGCCCTGAAGGTTGCCTTACAGGGAAAAGCGCAGGCTCGTGCTGCTAACAACAAGCTGGTTGGCGCTCAGTAGGGAATGAGGGAATGAACCTGGGGGTCCCCTCAAGGAAACGAGGGATGGTTTGTAAGGGTCATTCCATGTCCCATTCCCTGCATCTCTCGCACCGATCGCAAGGAACAGTTGAATGACTTTCGGAGTTGACTCTCTCTTGTGTGGTTCGACGTGACCAGTGATGATTTGTGCACAGGGATGGGGGTGGTTGCAGACAGCGGTCGTGCTGGAATGCTCTTGGGATGGATTGGGGGTGGGCCCTGGAATTCCATGACTCTCCTTTTGCAGGAAAATGGACGCGCGCGCTTTGTCCCCAGCACCCCATGCTGTTCAACCGACAGTGATCCAGAAGATTGCCATTCGAGCGCGGAAGTCCCAGTTGGCCTAAGCGGTTCTGCCTTCCGGGAGTCCCACCCTTCGCGGAAAGTCATCGGCATCCATGTTCAGAATGATCTTCACGGTCATGCATTGCTGCACCGAATGGGACAAGAGACTCTCTCAAGCCCCGAATCCCGAGAAAAGGCGACATCTGCAAAAAAGTCAGAGAGCCAAGAAAAGAGCTCACCCCCAAAGGAGATACTTTTAGTTGTTGTCGGGTTGTTTCCCGTTTCGGGGAGTAATGTCAACCCAGGCCGCTGAAGGTTTGGGCAAAGAACGGGTTGGAGTTGCTTTTGGAGCGGCTTTCTCCACAAAAAAATCAGCCTACTGTCAATTGGTGGTGTGGATTGCTCCACCTCGAAACCACTAGGCTCTAGGCTCTGGCTCCAATCCAAAAAAAATCCAGGGAAGCTGCGTAAAGGGACGGCCTTCTTTGTAGGGGAGATTGCCTTCTTTGGCTGTTTGGTTGCATCTTGGGATAAACTATGCTTGGATTTTCCATTCCGGACCTACAAACAGCTTTAAAACAATGGCTGAATCTTTGGATAAAAACATGTTTGCTTGGATTTTCCTTTTTTAACCCGCAAACAGCTTTAAAACAAAGGCTGGATCTTTGGATAAACACATGTTTACTTGGATGTTCCTTTTTGGACCTACAAACAGATTAAAACAAAGGCTGCATCTTTGGATACAAACGTGTTTGCTTGGATGTTCCATTTCGGAGCCACAAACAGCTTTAAAGCAAGGGCTGGATCTTTGGATAAAAACATGTTTGCTTGGATGTTCCATTTTGGAGCCACAAACAGCTTTCAAACAAAGGCTGGATCTTTGGATAACAACATGTTTGCTTGGATGTTCCATTTTGGAGCCACAAACAGCTTTGAAACAAAGGCTGGATCTTTGGATAACAACATGTTTGCTTGGATGTTCCATTTCGGACCCACAAGCAGCTTTAAAACAAAACTGGATCTTTGGATAAAAAAACGTGTTTACTTGGATGTTCCTTTTTGGACCCACAAACAGATTAAAAACAAAGGCTGGATCTTTGGATAACAACATGTTTGCTTCGCTGTTCCATTTCGGACCCACAAACAGCTTTAAAGCAAAGGCTGGCTCTTTGGATAAAATCATGTTTACTTGGATGTTCCATTTCGGAGCCAGAAACAGCTTTAAAACAAAGACTGGATCTTTTGATAAAACACATGTTTGCTTGGATGTTCCATTTCGGAGCCACAAACAGCTTTAAAACAAAGGCTGGATCTTTGGATAAAGACATGTTTGCTTGGATGTTCCATTTCGGACCCGCAAACAGCTTTAAAACAAAGACTGGATCTTTGGATAAAACACATGTTTGCTTGGATGTTCCATTTCGGAGCCACAAACAGCTTTAAAACAAAGACTGGATCTTTGGATAAAAACATGTTTGCTTCGCTGTTCCATTTCGGAGCCACAAACAGCTTTAAAGCAAAGGCTGGCTCTTTGGATAAAACACATGCTTGCTTGAATGTTCCATCTTGGAGCCACAAACAGCTTTAAAACAAAGACTGGATCTTCGGATAAACACATATTTACTTGGATGTTCCATTTCGGATCCACAAACAGACTAAAAACAAAGGCTGGATCTTTGGATAACAACATGTTTGCTTGGATGTTCCATTTCCGACCCACAAACAGCTTTAAAACAAGACTGGATCTTTGGATTAAAAACGTGTTTACTTGGATGTTCCTTTTTGGACCCACAAGCAGATTAAAAACAAAGGCTGGATCTTTGGATAACAACATGTTTAATCCCTTCCCCCTAATAATAAACGACGCCCCCCCCCCCCCCTCCCTAATAAAAAAAATACCCGGCCTGCAAAACAATTTTTATTATTAGGGGTCCCCTGGTTCTGGAGGGCAGGTTTTGGAGGGCAGGTTCTCAAAGGAAACGTACTCCCGGAGCTCTGGCTCGAAAGTCGCAACTTTGTAGTACAGCCGTAGTAAAGGAAACGTGCTCCCGGAGCTCTGGCTTGAAAGTCGCAACTTTGTAGTACAGCCGTAGTAAAGGAAACGTGCTCCCGGAGCTCTGGCTCGAAAGTCGCAACTTTGTAGTACAACCGTAGTAAAGGAAACGTGCTCCCGGAGCTCTGGCTCGAAAGTCGCAACTTTGTAGTACAGCCGTAGTAAAGGAAACGTGCCCCCGGGGTCCCCCTAATGGGGCTGGATTTGAGTACGGGCAGGAAAATATCTACTTTAGAATTGGTTTAGTATTGGCTATTCTAAAAGTAGTATTCCCGGATTTGGGACTTCCGAAACAAATATTTATTATTAGGGAGACCTTTATTAATAGGGGGAACGGATTACTTGGATGTTCCATTTCGGACCCACAAACAGCTTTAAAGCAATGGCTGGCTCTTTGGATAAAACAACATTTTCTTTTTGGATGATCCATTTCGGAGCCAGAAACAGCTTTAAAGCAAAGACTGGTTCTTTGGATAAAACCATGCTTGCTTGGATGTTCCATTTCGGACCCACAAGAAGCTAGACAAACACTCAGGGGCAAGCGGAGCGGCTTGCGGCCAGGAGTTCCTGAATATGATGCGGGACCACACCAAAGGGGCTCCGAGCCGAGCGAGCGATGTTGGACCCAGCTTGCGGTGGATTTGAACGGAGTCCAAAGCCATTTGAGTCATACCCTCCCACCAACCAACATGGAAGCGCACATTTGGCCCCTTTCCAAGAGGAAAGTAGTCTTTCTATGGTCTGCGCACTTCCTTGTTAGTCAGTGGGAGGGTAATCAAAACCGATCGGTACAAGAATGCTCGACCCAGAACCATGCTTCAAGAATTAGGAAGGCGGAGATCCGCAGCTATGGCTGGGATTCTCCCTTACTACCTCCAAGTACCCGGACTTTGATTGTGGCTCATTTGCCCTTCAGGGCTGGTCAACCAATGAGTTGCTATTTTGGGGGGCTTTGTACCCTTCAGGGGGTGTTAAGCAATGCGTCAGCTCCTGAGATGCATTTCTTGCGGGGAGTTGCCTTTTGGGTGATGTTTAAGGGGGAAGGACAGGGTTCTTGGAGAAAATGAAACCGGATCTGAGGTTGAGCTCGGTAACCAGGCGGGAGTGATGGGGAGTGGGGGGGGGAATCAGTGTCGAGACGAGCATGGTGACCCTGATGGGTTCATACATGACTAGGCCCCCAGTAGTGCCCTTTTACCCTTTTTCGGGGGAGGGTTCCCCTACTAAAATAGACTACAGACAAAAGTGGGTACCCTCCTTCTAACCTCTCTATTGGAGGACCTAGCCCTGATGGGTTCATACATGATTCTCCTTTGGTGCAAGCGATCGGAGCCTTTTTTGAGGGAACCTGCTGGCCCCCTCAATGCCCCGAACCTGCAGTGGCAGTGGGGCACCCTTCAGCACCAACCCAAACAAATGTGTTGTTGTCCCATTGCCGCCGGTCTGGGACATGGATAGCACGGCAAATATACACGTGGGGACCCTAAACTTGATAGATCTCCTTGGGCGGGGCCGCCCAGGTTTATCTTGGGCCCTCGTGGCCCGATTGTTACACACAACTTCTGGAGGACCTCTTTGGCGGGTGAATGCGTGGATTGGTCTCATGGACCCTCTCAAATGCTGAGTTTCCCATTGTTTTGCTTGTGAACCACCCCAAAATCTGTGTACCAACTCTAGGCCCGCAAAACGATGGGTTTCCGGTCGGTTCCCGCTTAAGCCACTCAACAGCTGGGTCTCCCCCAAGAAAGCAACCCCCAAAACCACCTGCGCCAGCGCCTCGCGCAGGTCTGACCTCTGAGCTGCAGCGCTGAAGGAAAAACGTTTCACTCGGCCGTTCCCAGAGCTTTTTGTCTAGAGAGCTGGATGTGTGACGTATCCGGCCAGAGAAGTCTAGCTTTCAGCAAA